TTTTAAAAAAAAAAAAAAAAAAAAAAAACGCATTAGAAACTGATTCCAGTCACTTCCAAAATATTTATGTCATAATCTACAGCAAGTGCACTATAAAGTCAACTTTTCCAGCAATTATATTGTCCCCAAAAAGTATAACCATCTTAGAAAATAAGCATATAAGCATATAAGTAAAATCCTTCAAACTAAAGAGTAAATGCAAATTCGTAGAAATGAACATAGTTCAACTGACAAACGTGTGTACTCTCGACCAAATAAATTTGAACATAGTAAATGCAAGTTGCACAAAAGTCCTAGCTGATTGTGATAAGATCTAAGCCAACTGTGAGGCTAAGTGACTCACAGCCCCACACAGAAAAAAAGAAGTTATCAGAATCAGAATTAAATTTCATATACAAAATACATATTCGTTTTAATATCACATGGTTAATGCATTAACTAACGAGATGAATTTATAAGAAGCAAGTACCTGTTTGTTCTGTTGTTTGTGCAGGCGAGGGTACCATTTTTCTCTTTCTTTTTGTCACTGTCGGGCGGCCACCACAGCCCTCATCGCTACGCAATATCTGAGACATTGAAGGAAGTTGTTCACAGCAATTAACTTCAGAATTTATGGGTCCTCTTTTGTTCTGTTGAAAATCAAGCAACAATTTGAAACTCTCACATTTCAATTCCAGAAATTTACTCTTACCCGTTTAGGGTAAATGTGTAGCCATCACTGGTATCTCAAAGTGCATTCTAGAGACGAAGTTTGATTCCAATACACCATAACTGCAGGTCGTTTTCAACCATGGAATCCTATGACATATTAAGCCTAATCTTTTATGAACTGTCGGTTATACCATCCCAATTCAAATTCGTCGTTATTAGCCTCAGAGATTTGTGCCCCTTTACTGTAAGTTACTGAATTTAGAATTGAACATTAAAACAATATCTTCCTTCACCAACTCCTTACCATTTTCTGCGGTGGTTGGTAAGGTAGAATTTTCCAGTTACTAAAAGTGGAAGCAAAACCTTGAGTTTATAAGGTAAACATCTGTATTCAGATCAATTTTTTAGGAAGAATCTTAAAGTAATATCCATTCTCGCTAAGTTTTTGCTCAAGAAGCACTTCTAAGTTTTGACACACCACGAGAATAATATACACGTTACTTCCTTAAAACTCATGTCAAGCAAGTTCAAAGTAAATTTAAAATGGACAATATCAAATGAACGTGAAAAAAAAAAATCATTATTCTAGCGCTATAGTGTTAGGTGTTGAGAGTTGTCCATTTGGCTATGGTATGTGTGGACAGCAGAACTTTACCTCTGTCATGCAACAAGCGTAAAAAGGCAAAAAAGAAGGGATGAGAAACGTCGGGACATTTTTGCAGTTGAGATGCATAATTGATCTCAAGGAATATTTATAGCATGGGAAAAAATGTTCCAAGTACGGTACCACTATTAATACTTTTTCCAAGTTTCAAAGCTAGTAGGGCCACTTTTAAAGCGCTGAAGATCTATTCAAAGTTACCAAATAATGTGTGTGTGATGATTTAGTCTTTGCAAAACTTTATCATGTGAATTAACACATCAGATTCTGAATTCCGAATGGGGTCACAGGTCATATCTGTCTGTATTTCCTTGTATAAAATGACAGCCATTCACGCGCCTCATAGACGTTTCCACTAATCATTAACTCTGAGAAAGAGCTAACCAAGTAGAGCAAGGGATAAGCACAGCCAATATAGGTACCCCAAATGCAGCTCTCTTATGGAGGAGCCTTTCATCTCTCTCCTTTATTTCCAGTCTATAAGGCCAACTTGAAGACTCGCTCAGTAACCCAGAAAGGCTAAAGAAGCAAAGCCTTCACTAAGATGGGTGCATGCTCAAGCAAAGAAGGGAGTGAGATCTGTGATGATGATGTTAGAGGATTGAAAGAAAAGGTAAGGTTACTTAGAGAGGAAGTGAGGGGTGTAATGTCTGAGATGGATAAGGTGACTAAAGCTCATGAGAAAGACAAGATGGTTTTTGCATTTAAGGAGGCAGATTGGAAATCAGAGAAAAAGAGACTCAAAGAGGAGGTGAAGATGTTGAGGAAGAGGGTAAATGAGAGGATTACAGAGATTGAAGAGAGAAATTTTGGAGATAAGACTGCAACAGAGCGAAAGATGGAGGGAACTCCAAATATCATCTTTGGGCAGATACAACAAGAAAGAGCACACAGAGATGAAGCCATTGAGAAGTGGAAGCAGCTTTACCACGCTATCAAGATTGAGCTTGATGACCTAATTCAGAGGACACATAATGGTATGTCTATGAACTTATCTTTTCTTCTAGTCATCACAGAAAATCTAATTTTCCTTTTGTTTCTGAATTTTCTGTTGATTTTCTTTCAATTTACTACTTTTAAGCTCAAGATTAGTGTTAGAAATCACGACTCTCCGCAATGGTATGATATTGTCCACTTTGAGCATAAGCTCTCATGGGTTTTTTTTTTTTTGGGCTTCCCTAGAAGGTCTCGTACCAATGGAGATGTATTCCTTACTTATAAACTCATAATTATTTCCTAAATTAGCCAGTGTGGGACTCCCTCCCAACAATCCTCAACAATTTGATCAGTGAAGGCTAACAAGAATAATAAATGCACATTAGATTTCCCATTACTAACAGGCACTCATCGGTTACTTTGATAGGAGATGGATTATACTGGGGAGCAACTGAGAGGACAGACGCACTACGAACAGAATTACAAGCAAAGGAGGAGACAATAAAAGCCCTCAAAGAACGATTAGTTTCAATGGAGCAAGAAAAATATAAGAGGAACAGAGATATTGACATACTGAGGCAAAGCTTGAGAATTATGACCAGTAAGAAGGAACAGCAGCTAGGTACTTTCCATAAATGCGTCTGTAAGTAACCTGCCCATGAATTGGGCAAGAAAACAAAATTTTCAACACCATATTAGAATGATGAACAAATAATGAAATGCCGATTGAATGTGTTTTGTAAAGATTGTTACCTCTGCACCCCCACCCTTCATTTCAACCCAATGGTCATTCTCATCATCATTTTGTCGGCATGGTCCAAAGGTAAACACATTTTTGTTCCTTAGACTGGGATTTTGGGAAGAGTTGCAAAAGATGAAAAGAAAATAAAAGATTAATCCTCTCTCAGTTGACAGGAAGATACCTGTGCTGATTCATAGATAAGGCTACAATTCAACTTTGATAGACAATCACACAGTTGATCGATTTCTTGGAATTTAAATTTAGAATATAATTATTGCACTATTGTTCAAGTTATAGTTATCACAAATCAATCACACAGGAAAATATAGCTTGTAAAACAATAATGTCCAAGTTCTTATATGTGAATCTAGCATTGTGGGGCTCTAGCTCGATCAATAACATCCCCGATTCAAATTTTGTTAAATCAACAATGAACCAAAAGCTTAAATTCATGGGTTATGTTCATTTCTAGTAACATTAATACTTCAAAAAAATTTGTGCCCAGCCTTGCAAACATGCGAATCAAATTGTTTTCTTAAACTGAAACAATAGGAGAAATGCTTCAACTCATGCTAATAGCCAATTCTACAAGGAATTATTTACTTGAACTCAATCATATGCATAATGGCTGCTGAAACCTATCAGTAAATCGAATTGTAATAGCCATTGTGGATCATTAACCTAAATCAAAACATACCTTCATTGAACTTCCTGATTGAAAGGAACGGCCAAAGAAATGGCCTAAGTAAAATGGAAGAACCAAGCCAAGCTCTACGCAATCCAAAGGATCCATAAAACGCATTTTATCCATTATCGTAGCAATGACGGAGACGAAACGCACTGAAATCGCTCCAGTCGACGCCTGAAAGAAGAAAGATCATTGAGCCTTCGCGCCATAAAACGTTCGTGCGTTTCTTCAATGCATCAGGGCTACCTTTTCTTTTTAAATTAAAAAATAATATTATATATATACAATTAGTTAAAAAATTAATTTAAAAAAGTTAATTCACTAAATCAAACTTATATTTATATATATATATATATATATATGCTAATGTTTACACATCAATATAAAATTTAATTATAAGATACTACGAAATAGCATTTCGAAAAAATTCCCAATCATATGGGAATGGATTGATTACCGACGGTTGAGATTGATCCGACAAATTTTGGTTGATAATTGGATGTGGCCTGGGTCCAGTCTGTAGCAACTTTTGGGCTGTGGACCTTTTGAAATGACATGTCCAGTGGCACAGACATACAGTTGAAAGTTGCACGGTTGCCGGTTGGGCTGGGCCTCCAATTAATTGGAAGCTTTGAAATTGGGCCCATCCGGATACCAGCCACCGCTTAAATTGATATAATGGTCAAATTATAATTTTAAATTAAAATTTATATTAAATAAACCAGCCAAATTTAAAAATAAAAAATAAAGAAATAGATAGCGAAAAACCAGAATCAAAAGCAAAAATTTATATTTTTCCTTATTTTTGTTTTCAATTTTACATTCGGAATCCCAAAACCCCCCTGTGTTCTTCAACCTCTGATATGCCGTCTCAGCCGCAACAGCGTCAGATGTCATGAGCTGATCTGAGACAATCTTTCTATAAATAAACTGTAGGTTTCCTCACGATCCAGCATGCTAACACGGACGTATTTGGGGCTAACACCGAAATGCTTTCCGCCTCGTGCGAGTATCTTGTGGCCTCGGAAGAAGCTCTCGCAATCATCAACGTCGGCTCCATCACATCTCAACCATGCAAAGGCTGCACACAATGAAACATGGAGTCAATTGATTGCACGAGTTGAAGGGGAAAAAAAAAACATGTTTTAAATTGTTCTTGCCAGGTTGGGTCCCCAAGTTGTTGTCAAAGAAGCTGCAATGTGCGGGAGAAAATTTTGGCAAACTAAATAAGCCGCTGTCTTTCACCGCCTCCCTTAGCAACCTCCATCTCTCAGTCATTACGGCGTGGCTGAAATGGAAGAACGATTCCGGAGACTCCGAACCACCGGCTTGTTCACTACTGTCGGATACCACTTCCAGAACTTTGGCAGCTCGAAGCTGCGAGTCTTTTGACACGCCAATCGTGTTCAGCTCTATGAATTTGACCATTCTCTTTGCTACTTCAACGTCCTTCACTAGAGCCCACCTGAAATTTGAAGAAAAATAGCGTTGGAATTTGGAGACAATTTCAATTTTCTCTTAGCTTAGCTAGCTAACTGACCCAATGCGCGTCCCAGCATGGCCAGTACTCTTTGACACAGTGAACATCGTCAAGTCATAGTCACAAGGCGCAGAAATGGGCGTATATTGCGGCCAGTAATAAGCAAGGTCGTGGATCAATATACCGCCCGTTCTGTTCACCACGGAGTGTCGAATGAAGCCATCCGGGTTGTTGGGGGAGGTGACCAATTCGATGTAAGGCTCATCCTTGTCAAATTGCTTCGCATCGCCAGCCCATTTGTGGAGCCCCGACTTGACGCAGTCGGTCATCAAAGGGTAAGACTGCAATTCATGTGATTAGGTTCAGTCAATAATTTCTTTTTTTTTTTCTTTAAAGAAATATCAGACAGTGCATGTGGAGCAACTATTCAGAATAAAGTTATTGAGTCGAATCATGACTCACCGAGTAGTATGGAGCAGTCGAGACCACGCTGATCGGGTGGGACGAGTCTTGCGGGGAAAGGGCATAGAGGGCAGCTAAGAAGAGCTGGGAGGACCCCGTCCCGACAACAATGTGCCGCCCCTCGGTCACAGCGTTACCAGCAACCTTGTGTAGCCTCACAATTTGGGTCGCAAGCTCAGGCTCCAAGAACCAACAAAGGTTCTTCCCAGCAGAAAAATAGCTCATTGATTGCCATCCAGGGATCACAATCGTAGTCTTGTCCCCCATTGCCTTCCAATATTGCTCATACATTGTCGGGTCACCACTGCATTAAATCATATCATAAATCCTACATCAAACTTCATAACAATTACACGTTGAGATCCCATGTCGGTTCAAGAGTAGAATGAACTCGGAAAATCTCTCATTAACCGATACATTTCGAACAAAAAAAAAAAATCAAAAGAGAATAATATCTGAGATTTAATATTATTAAATTTAAGAGATTTATGGAAAAAACAAATTAAAAGGTTCCATTCTTCTATAATTTAAGATTATTTCTTTAATGAATGGTGCCGGTGTTGGTGTTGCATGCAAGGTGGAATAAGCCACGTGGTTCCCACAAAAACGAGAATCTTCGTATTCTTATTCTTCTTGTTCTTAAAAAAAATAAAAACAAAAACGAACACCATGATGACAAGTTTTTGGGTCAACTTCAAATCACAGCCGTCCATGGTGCATTTTCGAATTTAATCAAACAATTATAATAATAATAATATATTTTTCATAAATTAATAAATAAAAAAAATTAAAAAAAAAAAAGAAAAAAAAAGAACAACAAAAGCACGAGTAGTTTCCATTCCACTGTTTCTACCTTTCTAGTTCTACCCTCTTTCTAGTTCTACCCTCGAAAGCCTCAACCCAAAACAGAAGAGCCCAGAGCTGTCTCTGTCTATGTTTGCAGCCAAAACAGCAACAAGACGGCATGGATCTTCAATCCAAAAGCGCTTTCTAGACAACGCCAAGGACTTGAACCAAGAGTTCCAGTTTTTTTCTTTTTTAGCCTTTTTAAAATTTATATATATTCCTCCATAATGTCACTGACATCCCACACCTAAAAAGCTGGAAAAAAAGCAGCTACTTATACCTCGAAATTACCCTCTTACCCTTCCCCCCATCGAAGAACAAAAAGATTAATTTTGTTCAAGGAAGAAGAAATCAACAAACACGTAAAGAAGAAATCAAAAAACTCACTGGTCGAGATTAATAACTCTTTGTCCTCCATTTTCATCAACAGAAGGTTGAGTTTCGCGAGCTGCTGCTGCTGATTCAGATGGGAAAGACAAGAATCTCATTTGGGAAGCTTTAGTGCCTTTGTGGACCGCCATTGGAGCTCCACTTTGGTGCTTCTCATTCTGATTTACACCTCTTAGAATCAAACTCACATTCAAAGCTAGAGACAGCACGAACAAATGCCTGAAAGAAACGACATCCGCTATTCTGGCCATTGCTACACGAAAAACAGAGCACAAAAGGGAAGAAAAAACAGAGTGTTAGAGAAGAAGAAACGGATGAGGGGAAGAAGAAGGGTATTGTTATTAGCGTGTTTGATTGCTGCGAATGGGGAGTAAGGAATGAAAATATGAGGTATAAATAGGAAGCAGAGAAGATTGAGATGATTTCAAACAAAAGAAAGTGCCAAAATGCCAAAGGGATGGTAGGACATGAAGAATTAAAGTTTTGAAGGCATGCAGAATCCAGAAACAGGGATCATTTCATTTTATCTTACAAGTACATTCCAACGGGGGAAGTCATCATAAAAGGTTTGATAAGTTTCGAAAAAATTATTAGCTTAAATGGAAAGTTGAAATGGGGGAAAAAAAACAGAGTAATATCCGGTCGTGTTCGAGCTCTTCTCTGTGATTCTAAAGGAAGATAAAGGATGAAATAATACCACAGCGTTTTGTCGCCATTTTTGGAGCTTGAGAGGAAGAACAATAAAGAGAGTCGACAAAGAAGGCGAAATTGGGAAACTAAATCGAAAAGGAAGAAGAACAGAACACCTTGTTGTTGATGTTTTTTTTTTTTTTTTTTTTTTTTTTTTTTTTTTTTTTTTTTTTT